CCCGCCAGAGGATGGTTCCTCTCCCTCGCCCGCCCGCCCGCCGGCGCGCCGCCGCGCGGCCGCTCCTCTCCCCGTCCCCGTTTCCCCACCGCGGGCTCATGACAGACCCCCGCGCTCCCCTCACCCGCTCCCTTCCGGGCCGGCGCTTTTCCCGAAGCAACTTCTCCCTGCGAACACCAGCCCCTCCTCACCCCGCCGGCCTCACGGCCCCCAACACCCACCTGAACCCGCTGAGGAGCGCACCTCTGACGGCCTCCCACCTTCCCCGGAGCGCGCTCCCCCTGGCATCGCGGTATCCGTCTGCCTGCTCGCCCACCTCCACGCAGATGATGACCGCCTCCGCGTCACCCTAGCTATAGGATGCCAAGCATGGCCGGGAAGCGTCCCTTGAGTGGGGGGCTGTAGGCGCGGGGCACTTTGATTCCTGCCTGGCTTAAAAGCAAAAAGAATTATTCCTCTCCGTGTCACCCACCAGACCCACTCTCCCCCGTTTTGGGCAGCCGCTCTCTCCGCTGGTTCACCCGCTCCGGCTGGCACAGCCATCTCCTGCCCCAGGTCAGACCGGTTTCCACCGGCTCCGTTTCGGGGGCGATAGCGCTTGACTAAAAGAAGACCGAAGAAACACGAAGGATTGCTACTACGAAGAGAATATTTTATTACTTGTAACACTTCATTCAGCTAAATCCACATAGCAATACACACAGAAATACTTCGGAAAAGTGCAAATTCTCACTCTGTGTTTGTAATATGCCCCAGTTTTACAGGAGAACGGACGCCGGGTAAACGAGGACCGATGCAGAGCTCCCCGGGTTCCAGCCAAGGAGAACGGCGCAACTTCAGATACCTCAGTCACCTCGTACAAAGCCACTCTTGAGCAGGCAAAGGGCGAGGGCGGATGGCAAACGTGCCCTGCACCGGGGATCTGGTATCAGGATGGACTCTGATCACCCAGGCGTCACCGCGCCGAGAGCCCCCCGCTCTGACCTGGGGAGAGAAGAGGCTGAAAAGAGAGGGGGGACAAAATGAAGGGATGACAAAAATAGGTTTAAAATTAAAGAGAACATCCAAGTGCTTTCTAAAGCTTTTGGAAGCGCTTTCTGAAGCGGGCCGCGTGTTCCACCCTGCCCCAAGTGACAGAAGCCTTCTTTCCACCTGGTGGCTTCTCCCTCGGCACCAGTTTGACAAACACACTCCCTTTAATAAAACAGGAGCCAAAATCCCCAATACTTCAGACAGAGAGGGGCCACAAAGTGCTCCCTGAGTCCCGCTAAATCCGGGGATAACGCCAGAAACTTGCAACGCGCAGGTATCCTCCGGGCAGAGACACAGCGCCAGCCGGAGAGGGGGCACGAACGGCCCCAGGCAGGGAAGAGCCGCGGGCAGCGCGCACTGCAAATCACCTCGGCGTCCGAAACGGAAACGCACAGAATTCGAATTCTTAATTTAGTCTGCGGATGATGCAAATAAGCATCTCCCCCCCGTAAAAGGAAGAGCTGGGTATGTAATTAAGGAAATGAGGGGACCTACTCAGGCAAGAGCCCAGTTCTCCTGCCGCCCAAGGGAAACCTGCCTCCCTCGAGCCGCGTCCTGCTGGGGCCCAGGCTGCGGAAGGGCCGCAGGACCGGCTCGCGCTGCGAGCGGGACAGCGCCCGCGGCAAACGCCACGCAGGGGCTACGCTGCTCTGGGCTGCAGCCAGAGCTGGGCGCGCACCGTCCCGTCAAACTGCCCCGCGTGAGACGCGCTCCCTCCTCCTCTTCCAGGCAGGGGTTTGATTCACTCGCGCCGCGGCGGGAGCGGATGTGAATAGCACTTGAAGCTATTTAAACCACAGGCTGGACGCTGTATCGCAACTAGAATAAAAAAAATGCAGCTACGAGCTCTGTATCGCAGACGTTCAGCCCTGCCTGGCAAGTCTCTTGTACTTACAAAGGTCCTGTCCTAGGCCCACAGAAACACAACTTTACCACGTATCTGAGCGAGACAGAGATTAAGCCTGTCGCATCAAAAAGGGAAAGGACAAAACCAAGCCCTCCTAATGTTATGAAATGCTAAGAACAAATCACTGGCTGTAGGATTACAGTTTAAGCCAATGACTTGCTGTAGACCAACCTTTGAAAAGGCCTATTTTAACTGGAAGCGCCTAGTAAACAATATCCACGACGTACTTTGATCTATTATCTGCTTCCTACTCAAGTCGGAAAAGCCTTTGTTCTTATCTGAAAAGCAGGAAAGGACAGCTGGCCGCTGAAGGGAGGTTGTGCGCAAGCCCAAACAACTCGAACGCGATGTATAACAAAGTTCCAGGGCGATGAAATAAGAGAATTACAGTCCTTCACAGTACCAGAAGTGAGGGAAGCAAGATCAGAGGGAGGAGATGAAGGAGGAGTTCCGCAAATGGAACAGTATAAATATATCAAACAGTTCAAATACAGTAGGAAAACAACGGTAGCAGCAGTTTAAAACCAGCAATAGTTATTATACCCTTAGAATACATTCAAGACATTGTGCCTGTTGCTCTCATTCCAAAAGCACTACCACGTCTGTAACTTACGGCTCAAATGTATCGACGAGAAGAATCCCAGATACTTAACTCCCTGTATTTGTTTATCATTAAAGATATTTAGACTATGAACAGTTACCAACTTCTAAGAATGCTGATTTGAAAACATAATCACGATTTTCTTCCATACTGCGTTTCTAACGCTCGCCTGCTGATATAAAGCAGATCTCTCCGGGAAACCGCGGAGTCCTGCTCTTTGCAGGAGCACAAACGTAACCCACAAGACCTAACTCCTAACGCTAACTGCTACGCCATCCACGCAGCCGGCCTCCTCACCCACACTACGCTTTTTACGGTGTTAACCTTTGTTCAAAACTACGTTCTAAGCCACTTGTTCTCTTCTGAACTGCTAGTGGGCTATTTAAAAACAAAAGCCAAAGCGCCTAAGGCTTTAACCTGCTGCAATGGAACAAACGGCAAGACCTCCTTCAAATTCAGTGCAGGCGGGATCCAGATCTGCGCCTTTTCGGGAAAGCTGGAGACAAAGCAGCAGTCAGAAATGCCTTCGCACCTTCGAGACCTACCCAGCGCTGTACAATAGCATCAGTATACTCTAAGCGTAAATGCTTTCACCCATTTTTCTTCTTTTTCCACATCAGTCAAATGCACAATCAAGGAAAACAAAAAGGTTTTTGGCATTAGATACATTTCACTCAATTACAGAACAATTTGGAAATATTTTCTCTTAAAATAAAAAATAAATAAATATCGGTGGCAAATAAGAATTTGTGCGACACAGACCTTCTGCAGTACATGGACATTCATATACAGCAAAATACTTATCCACGGTTATAGTGCAAAGCTTCTGTCGGCATGAAATACCCAACACCCGCACAGACACAGAAACCTCGGTGCTCTGTAAAGCCGTCTAGATGCAAGACATGCAAACCCACTCGGCGCGATCCTACGGCATCAAGCTGTCAGGGTATAATAAGATGGAGGACAAATGCAGAGATTTAACAATAGTGGCAAAACAACGGCTTGAACTTAAGTGCATCTTAGGTTCTTCTCATGTAACCTTCACTACAGAGGTGAAGTGGTCAGTTTTATCCCTCTCTTGTACCTAATCACTGTCAAGTGATAGCGGGACGGTGTCCTGAGCACCACTGACTTTATTCCGAAGCCTTATATTAGCAATTTAGTAGCAGACATTAACAAGTATTACTCTCGGTTAATCAATACGCAGTTTCTCTTGAAGTGTTGTTTCAGTTAAAGCATCTTCCGCAGCTTTTCTGTGCCAAAACGTGGCTTTTATTTTCTGAAATCCTAGATAGCTACATGAGAGTTTCTGTATCCCTCTATTTTTTGGAAAAAATGATGAGCGGTATCACTGTCTGCTCAAGAGAGGGTAAGAAACAGGTAACGGACAGTTGTTAAAAGTTTGCCCTAAAAGATAAAGAATAATAGTATTTGCGAACCATTGTTCTAACAGAAATTACCTTGTAAGTCGTGACCAAAAAAAAAAAAAAAAATCATGATTTAATAAAAAGAAAAAAAAAAATCAAGGGTGTCAGCATCTCACCTTCACTTTCTTCCCTTTTTTTTTTTTTTTTTTTAATAACACAACGGTATGAATTACTAAATTTCTGAAACCTTTATTTAAAAAAAAAAAAAAAAAAGGAGGGGATGTGGGGATCCTTCAGGGATGTGGGACAAAAAAATGGTTCCAGAGCCTACAGTAGTTAGAATGGGCAATTTAACCACGAAACGAACTTTGGAAGCCTTGGAAAGGCGCTATATAATTCAAAAGCCAGACTGCAGGTGGAACTGCACGTGTTGCCACTATTGTTTCCCTGCCAAGTAAACAGTTTAAGATACACGCAGGAAAGATACAACGCACCAAGAGCACCTTTAACAACAGAAGGATACTTAAGTAGCTGAAAAATGGCATATTGAACAACTTGCCTAAACAAGAAACGCTAAGCACTGAACTCTACTTCAACATTTTTGGAAATTAAGACCTGTAACAATGATACCTACATTCACGCACAACAGCTAGGAAGAAGCAGGCTTTTTTGTCAGTTTGGAGTGATCACTTCCTTCAAACACTACGACTACCCGATTCTAAAACCTTTTCACACAAAAGGTACTGGATAACTGGAATTAGTTTAAGACAAGATCTACTGGCTAAGATCTGCTGTCTTAAACCCACTGGGGCAGTTCGTTTGCATCGGTGTGGGTTAATTAGTCTTTTGGTCAAAAGGACAGAAAATGGTAATAATAAATTCCGTCCTTTTCTCTCACTTCCTCTCCTTATCCCAATTTTCTGGCCCAGACTTTGGTGAAAAGCCTGACAAAAGAATGCTTCTTCTCTATAGAATAAAAACATAGCTGTTTGTTTAACACACACGCGCATTAAACGGAGTTCTGTTCTTGGTTCCTTTGTTTCACGTGACGCGGTGCAGGCGGTCACTTCGTGCAACACCAGGTACAGGAGATCTAAGCAGAGCGCCAGATCAGTCCGTTCTTATCAGGTTCCAGAAACTTCTCAATCAAAGCTTCAATAAGCTTCTGAAGTTCTTCTTCCAGCACGGTTCTGTCACTAGAAAGAGAACAATACCATGTCAGAGGTTTGATAAACACCAAGCATCTATTAAAAAAAAAAAATAAAAAGCAAGATGTGATGGTGATGGACTAGAGCTGTTGCGTCTCCTACCAGCATCAACGTGTAGGAACTCCAACCTGCTTGCTTCAACAAGCTACTTTTTGGTAGAGACTATTGCAATATTAATTTAAATTAATGTAATTAAAGAAAAAATCGCCACTAGAGGGCTCTAGGCTAGCAGAGAGAATACAAGAACTAACGACATGTGATGGTGATGGACTAGAGCTGTTGCGTCTCCTACCAGCATCAACGTGTAGGAACTCCAACCTGCTTGCTTCAACAAGCTACTTTTTGGTAGAGACTATTGCAATATTAATTTAAATTAATGTAATTAAATTAAAGAAAAAATCGCCACTAGAGGGCTCTAGGCTAGCAGAGAGAATACAAGAACTAACGACTGCAAAACCAGTGCAAGACTGGCCAGACACAGACTGGAAATGGACTAAAAAGTAAGAACGAGCTACTAGTAGAAGAGGTAGATAACCCTAGATGGGCAGCTGGATGCTGTGCAGAGAAGGATATAGGGTATCTGCTTGCATTTTGACTAAAGTGCAATTTAGGCGGGTTGAGTAATCAGGCAAAGTGTCACAGCTCCAAGAGGACGCCGTAACATACTGATCCTTCCCCTGTTTAAATGCCCCGACGTTCGTCTGAGTAAAAAGACAACATCCACATGCGCGAACACTAATGCATTGCAACACTCCTTTAAAAATGCATAAACCCTCTCCTGCCCCAGAAGTCGCACTGGAGGGAGAGGAACTCAGTCTCTTTGTCAAGGAAAATAGGCAAAACCAGGCTTATTTACACTTGCTTTGCTCATCTGTGGAAATGGCAATGCATCATTGCCCTTCACCACTTCCTTTTAAAAAAACACTCCAAAAATGGTGCGATAAAACTGACTTTCCTGATGCTCAGCTTTTAATAATCAATAAACAGCAACTCAGAGAAATATTTGCAAAGCTGTCATGGAGAGGAGTGCCTTCTGAGGCTCCTACAGGCCATTTTGTGCCTTGAACCAGGGAAGCTTGAAAGCTTTTCAACATCATGTGCCAGAACATAATTGCCAGTAACCATAGGTATTACTAAAATTAAAGGCTGATGTATTTTTCTCACTTATCAGAATGAACAGCAGCAGAAGCCTAAATGACGCATCAAAGCACCCCGGGTGTTTTGTTTCTCTTCCCACTACACTCGCCTGGCCCTTGCTTGTGTCAAGATTAGGTTATTTCCAGCGTTTACGTCTTCCCTGTTGGCACAGCTGTTTGCCTCAACTACATCTTACCTTTTCTTCAGCATTTACACCAAACGGTACCTTGCCCACTCCCAGGTTTACGGAAGCACGTTCCAACCGAAGTGGGAATTTCCATGCCCACGTAACAAAGAAGCGCGTTCACGCGCCAGACAATCAGAAAGCTCTCGGACCGAATAAATACAAGCTCCCGGCAAGAGCTGCCATTCAGATAATCGGGGTGTAGAACTACCGCGTGTAGAACTGCCCTGCTGTTATTCCACGGACAATTCAGAACAATGCAAAACCATGATTCAAAAGATGGGCTGTACCTGTGTTAATACACTTCACGTAGCAATAAACCGCGTTGTAAAGAATATTTCAACAACCTGTGGAAAGCTGCCTAGGCGTGGATCTGTGCATCTCCTCACGCGCACATTTTACAAGCAAAGGCAATCTACCACTCACTGTCCACTGACTGCCTAAATCTGACCAAAGCATTCAGTGATAAAAGTGTGCTCACCCGGAATTCCGGCCAAAAAGTAGAAATATATACTGAATCAGAGGCCCCTTTACGTTATTTCCAAATCTCTGCTCCACAGGAATGTCAGGACGCGAATCTAAAAGGAGGGTACTCACACAATTTAGGTTAGGAATCCAGTTCAAGAGCCTGCTTCTCTCCGTTCGCTGGACTGAGAACCTAGGCTCCTCATTTGCACTCCTGATTTCAATGGTGTAAACACACCCTATAATTTTTTTCCCCCCTTTTAAACTGGAAGAAGCTCAATCCAGGTGGCTGTCAAAAGGGGACAGATCTCCAGTTACTATCCAGTAGCTCAGAGCAACACAGCAGATTCCCAAACACAACAGGAATCCACCTGGGTTTAAGCATCCTTGCCAGCAGCAGCACAACTTCGTCACTTTTTAATTCTAAGTCAATGAGGAACTGGGTTAATAAAAAGTCTCCTACTGCAGCAGGTGCTGAAAATTCAATTCTTTGTCTTATCCACTACAGAGGCGATCCCTTATGAGCACTGGCCAGCTGAGGCTCAGGTCTCCCAGGAGGCAGCAGAGGAATCCCCCAGCAGGCAGGGAATCCATGCCCGCGTACTGACCTTTCAGCCCAAAGGCATCGCGCGACGTGTGCGCGCGGAGCTGCTACTGACCTCTGTTCGGGCAGCGCGCACATCTCTGCGTAGTACTTGATTTTTGGTTCTGTTCCACTTGTCCGAAGGGTGGCAACACAACCATTTTGAAAGGTGAAAGTGATCATCTGACTGCTTTTACTCACTGGCAGCACCTACATAAACAACAACATTTTATTACAGAACACCTCAACTAAGGCAGAAGTTGGTGGTTTGGTTTTGTTTTTTTAAATACAACATTCAGTACATACAAAGCTAAATAAACATGCTGAAATCCCCTGCAGCATACATCCCCCAGCCAATGCAACAGGCTAGGACAGGTCATTTCAGCCTGACAGGCCTATCACCTAGATCGGACTCGGTATTTCAGGATAACGGGACTGTTTCTTACTCCCGTTGGAATTCCAACATCTGGAAGCCTGCTAGACAGCTTAAGAGTTGCAGGAGCATCAAGCTCACTTCGACTAATAAAAGCTCATTCATTGTTATATCAAAATAGTCAACACAATAGCCAAGCCATTTCACATTTAAGCCATTTTCTCCCCAGTAAATGTTGTTGAGCAGTTTTAATAGATGATGGTAATTATACTGCCATCTTAGTTGACATAGCACATATTTCTGCATAGCTCTCGGTGTATTTAACTTTCAGTCTCTTCAAAAGCAAAACCTCTCCTGCAAAACCACTTTGTAACTCACCGATTTCTTATTCGGCTGGCTGCTATCGTAGCCAGTGGTAATATCTCGTACATGTAATATATTGTAAATACCACAAAATTTTGGATAAGACTGAGGGGAATCGAAGTTCCGAAGTCTCTCAAATATCCTTTTGATGGTAGGAGGATCATAGCACAAGAAATAGGAAGTCTTTGATATGTGATATCCATACCTACAAGCAAATTAACATTTTCAGTTACAAGACTCAGAAGGCTTCTGCACATTTGGTATCTAAAGAAAGCCCCTGTTTGGAAAAGCAATAACAGAAAAAGAATGCAGTTCTCACGGCTGCGTAAACAGGTATTTATAGGCAAATGTTTGGACTCTGAAGCAGATTTCACTGCATTACTCAGATTGTCTTAAGCTATTTTTAAATTCAAGCGAAGGTTTCGGTTCCAAAGAAATAAAAACCAACCATTTGGCTAAGTGCAGCCTTGGTAGCCCTCAGGAAATTCATATGCAGTATCATTCCCACACCATCAAAAATTGCCTGCTGCAGCCACGCGAGCAGCCACAACCACAGATTATTTCAAAGACCTCTGAGGAAGGTGACCGATTATTTCCTCCAAGTTAAAACCACTGTCCCCAGTCAGACCTAATGCAAGCAGTCATGAGGTGCAGCAACCCTCTTTGCATGTTGAATTTGCAGTTGTTCTTCACTATATTCCACCCACTCCTCGTTCTACAGAGACCCTTCTTCTGCAGCTTAAAAAATTAAGCGTGACTGGAAGATGAATCCTTCCGTTATCGCTATCATTGACAGCTTTTCAGTCCAGCTGTGCAGAATCGGTTTTGCTACAGTTTGCATGACAGAGCAAACTCCTGAGTGCCATAAAGCGATAAATGCTGACCATCGTTTGTGCTTCCTCGTTCCGAGTTTCTAAGGGCCACAGTCTGTCTTTCTGCTGGGTCGGCAGGAAAAGGAATGGCATATATGGTTTGCTGTAACTGTGCCACCAGTTCCATTAAAGCATAGAAACTTCTGCTGATGAACTGGGCTTATCACAGTACGCGACTTAATTCTGACATAAACACGTTCCTCACGTTATTGCTGTGAATTTTGTCCATAGCTACTGGACGTGGGCCATTCCTTTACCCTCTCTTCTATTACAAATCTCTGCAAGAACAGGACGTGATCTTCTAATAACCCCCAGACTGTGCTGAAGTGAAAGTAGTAAGTGTTTAAAGAGAGGCACACAGACCACAACTAAGATACAGCTACCCGTCAGAAGGTAAAAGAAGTAAGATAGCATGAATCAAAGAAGAGAGAAAAGTTTGCCCTGGTGGATCCACATGCAAAACTCTACTCTTTCACAATCTACTGCAGAAACATGACAGAAAGGGCCTCTTTAGTCCTTTGGGAGGTAAGGTGTTCGAGTGGTATCTGTAACACTGAAGACTGTAGTCCATCACGGCATCAGAAAAAACAACTTACAATGAGAAAACATCTGAGGGACGCATTAAAAACATTTACTAGATTATTCCCAGCTCCAAAATAGTTAAGTAGGACACACTAATGAAAAATACAACTTACGTTTCATATATCTCAATGAGTTTCTGTGCTAGTGTTAGGTTCTTGACCTCCAGGTAGGTTGCCATTTCAGCTATGACCACAGCTGCGCTTACGCCATCTTTATCCAAGACTGATGTGCCACACATGAAGCCTAGAAATAAAAAAATGATTGTGGAAAAATAACCTGACATCCTATTACACTGATTTACTTGATTCAAGTTTTAACCTTTTTCCTGTAGGAGAAGGTTGGCCAATACATGTCAGCTGTTTTTATTCCTGCATAGGATTTCCCCTTTTCTAAGAAATCTGATTAACTTAGGGGTTATAGGGCTGCAAAGATATGTGTTATAATCAATTAATTCCAGGTTGATAACATCTGCTCTCTGAGGAGATCGCTCAGTGCTAAACATAAAAATGTGCTTGTTTTGTGCAAGCACACCGGTACTGCAAAGAGTCTCGCCAGTAGTTTCAGTCAAAGGAACGCATGCAGATACAGCCTTGGTAACCCATAAACCACCGTACTGCCGAGATGCCCTCTTTCTGAAGGGATGCATGAGCAAGATCAACTCCTTATGGTCAAAAGCTTCTTTAATTTTATTAAAGAAACTGGCATGGACACACACCCTCTTCAGCGCATGATTCAGTTTCAAATGCCATGTTACATGTGAATATGCTGTCCCAGAAAGCTGCCATTTATCCTAAGAAGTGAAGAATTCCTACAGCCGAACGTTCAGTCCGTAGTTCTCTACAGCTAAGTGGTGTCAGCGATATTACCAAGATAAACACAGCACTCGAGGCAAGGTCAGCAGGA